TCTCTAATATAATATAGTATAATAAAGTAATAAATTAGCCTTCTGAGAACATAGAGTCAGATTCATCATTCCTCCCTGCCACAAGGGTCCCTGAAAATGCAATAGTTTATCACCTTTGGAGGAAAGGGAGAGCCACTTGTGTGAGCTACAAGGATACCATGGGCTTATGCAGGGAGAAAATTAGAAGGGCTAAAGCCCAACTAGAATTAATCTGGCTATTGCTGTAAAAAACAAGAAAAAACATTTCTATAAATACATTGGCAACAAAAGGGAGGCTAAGGAGGACCTCGCCCTTTATCAGATGTGGGGGGAAAATATGGTGACAGGATGAGAAAAGGCTCGTGGCATCTAATTCTTGCCTCAGTCTTTCATAGTAAGACCAGCTATTCTGCATCTTGTCAGACCCCTGAGATGGAAGATGGGCAGGGAACAGAATGAAGCCCCCATATTCCAAGGGGAAATGATGGCAGAAGTCTACAGAATGGATGGGGTCTACCAAAGAACACTGATGGTCCTGGTAGAAGTGCTCACTGGGCCACTTTCCACCATTTACCAGCACACCTCTCTGTATGGAGAGGTCCCAGGTGGCTGCTTTTTAGCCTATGTAATACCTGTCTTCCAGAAGAGCCACAGGGTACATCCAGGGAGCTATAGGCCTGTTAGCCTGACCTCAGAGCCAGGAAGGTCATGGAGCAGGTCATCCTGGGTGCCATCATGCATCAGGGCATCAGGCAGGGGTTCAGAAAAGGCAGGACCTGCTTGACCAACCTGACCTCCTCTGACAAGGTGACGCACTTAGTGGATGAGGGAAAAGCTGTAGCTGTTGTCTGTCTGCCTGGACTGCAGGAAAGACCTTGAGACTTTTTCCCACAGCATTCTGCTGGAGAAACTGGCCGTTCTTGGCTTGGATGAATATTGTGTGTGGCAGGACCAGGACAGGGATTGTGCACCTGTGCTGGGCACTGGTGAGGCCACACCTCGAGTGCTGTGTCCAGTTCTGGGCCCCTCACTGTAAGGAAGACTGGAGATAGTCCAGAGAAGGGCTGGGGAAGGGCCTGGAGCACAAGTCCTGTGAGGAGCAGCTGAGGGAGCTGGGGGTGTTCAGCCTGGAGAGAAGGTTGAGGATCACTTTTCATTACTGCCAGAAAGAAGGATGTAGCCAGGTGGGGGCTGATCTCTTCTCCCAAATAACCAGTAGTAGGACAAGAAGTGCCCCCAAAGTAGCCCAGGGGAGGTTTAGATTGAAAATTGGAGAAAATGTCTTTACTGGAAGTGTTGTCAAATACTGGAATGGACTCCTTATGGAAGTGCTTAAGTGACCATCCCTGGAGGTGTTTAAAAGTTGTGTAGAAGTGGCACCTAAGGACAGGATTAAGTGATGGACCTGGCAATGCTGGGTTAATGGTTGGACCTGATGGTGTTAGAAGTCTTTTCCAACCTAAATGATTCTATGATTCTGTAAACATCAGGGTCTGAGCCAGTTAACCTGTGGGAAATCACACTGGTAAGGTCTCTTATGCTTGAACAAATCTTGTTTAATGTATTTAGTGACCTGAAAAAATAGTTATAAAAGCAGGACAATACAAAACTGTAAAATACTAGAAGAAATTATGTGTTAATGAACATAAAGTCGTACATGTGAGGAGATAAATGGAACTGAAGCACAATTTCTTTCTTCACATGTATGGTGAATAGATTATTTATTATCACTCATGGAAAAGACTCTGAAATCAAAATAAGTGTATTTTTGGAAAGGTAAAGATGAAACAGCTCTCTGGAAAACACTTTAGTAAAAAAAAATGAATTAAGAATTGTTGGAAAATAGTGACTGTGCAGAAAATGTTTCAAACTTATGAATTTACCTGAATCTTGTATATGGTGTCCTGTTTTCCCCATCACATTTTCGGACATAGGGAAACTGGAAAAAGCTTTTGAAAAGGTGGAAAGAGTAAGTGAATGATCAGAGGGTTGGAATACTGACTATCAGGGGACAGACTAGATAGACTGAGTTTCTATACCATGGAAATAAAATAACCTGGAGAAGATGGGGTACAGCAAACAAAATAACGAGTTCCATGAAGAGGGTGAATACAGAACCATAATTTAATTACAGTATATCTTAGAATATAGCAACTAAAGTGTTTGTATCTCCAGGCAGCAAGTTTAAAATGAACAACAAGAAACCCTTTTTCATACAAAAAAATAAACAATGTGAGACACTGACACTAGATGTTGCAAAGGCCAAAAGTTTAACTGAGTTCAAAAAGGGATTAATGGCTACTTTTGTTTCATGAATTGTAGAAACATCCTACTCAGACATAAATTCTAGCTGAGGAAGTTCCTAAACCACTAATTGCCAGAAGATGGGAAGGAGGGGTTGCTCAGCTCTTGCCACACTTCTTATAATCTTTCCTTATGCATCTCCTAATGGGCATATTGGGACCAGGATAATGGGCGAAACAGTTTGTTTGTTTGTTTTTTTTTTTGTTTGAACCATTATGGTTGTTTTTTTTTTTTTGGGGGAAGGGGGTTTTTTTTTTTTTTTTTTTTGTAATGGGCAGACAAAATGGAAATTTCTAACTTGTTTTTTGAGCTCTGTAAATGCTATCTGGAATATGATTCTTAATAGCTAATTAAGGATGATCACGCTTTTTTGCTTTCCTCATTTTAACATGTAAAAAATGACTCTATAGATTCATCTGCGGAATGCTTAAGATGATTTTCTCTACATACAGTGAAATGTGGATGAAGGTGAATAATTTAAGTATTTCATTTGAGTGATAATGATGTGTGTCTAATTTAAAGGACAATGTGTCAGAAAAGCTAACAGTAAACGGGGAGTTTTCTGTGGTCTTCTAGAAGGAGATGAATGGTATCATTTTTTGCTCTTGTCAGTTAAGGAATATTAAGTTTCAGTGAAAAAAATATCCTACATTCTACAGTTGTACTTCTGGCAATTAGTAGGAACAGAAGCAAACAAGGAGAGTTTCTTTAACATCTATGCGCTTTTTTTTTCCCCTTGTGCAATTCTTATTACCTCTTTTTTTCCTTCTTAGAGTGAAGAATAAGAATGGCTTTTTGGGACTAAAGGAAATATGAATTACTTCCCCCCCCCCTTACTAACTTTCTATTCTAGGGGTTTTTTTGTCCATGTGAATTTATAATGTAGAAGTTTATTTCTACTTACTAAACAGAAATTTAATTAATCATCACAGTGCACTTTGGAAATGAAAGATACATTACTCTGTGTCAAATAAGTTTATCCTGTTCTGCATGCAAACTATGCACATTGTTATAAATCATGGTCTCAAACTTCTAAAGTTGTTGTTTTTGTTTATTAGGAAACCTTGCTTCAGATCCAAAAAGGCAATAAGGAGACTACACATAGCAAAGAGAAAGTGGGCCTCAATCGATCATGAAATGCAATTACACAATATTCAGAGCTGAGTGAAATAAAGATCTTAAATAGCAGTAGCCTGTAAAGTTCAAAATTAAAAGTAGTTTCATCATATATTGTGAAAAGGGAGATTGAATCAATGAAACTGATCTCTTGTATCTTGTTTGCTGTCAATTTACATGAAATGATACTTGAGGTGAGCCTTCTTTTCCTGTATATGTAAATACATTTTGTTTATTTATGGAATATTACTGGAGTGGTCTGGCAGGAGGTTTCTGGAGTTCAGCTTGTGCTCATGGTATAAATGGAAGCACAAGAATTGAAAAAGGCTTCCACCTGGTCCTCCTTAGCTTAGCTAATGTGATTGCAGATATTATTCTAGCAGTAAAGCTTTATTTAACAGCACAGAATGTTACTGCCTAGTTGCAATAAATCAGTATCTGAATTAAAAGAATAGGGACTTTCTTTTTGTCCTTTCTTGTATAGTATCATAAAATCTGCACATGTATCCAGAAGGTAGACAACAACCTACTGTGACTAATCTGTCATATTAACTGTAGGATACCAAAAGAAGTTTGAAAAAAATAGTTAAATCCATTTTATCTTGCTTTCACTTAATCTAATTTCTTCTTTATCTTTTATTTTTTATTCTTTGGAAAATTTTAGTATGGTTGGGGTGAGGATTAAGGTATTTTTATTAGGATCTGGCTGCCTTATAAGAGAAAAATCTAGGCAACTTCATCTCAAGACTCTATGGGTCTTGAAATCCCTCTTGAAATTTGTGATCCCTCAAAAAATGAGCTCTGAATCAGTGAAACTTCTGCCTCAGGTACCACATTTTACTGGCTGAAGGGTGCAAGGGCACAAAATGCAAGCCCACTGCCCTTGTGTCAGGATACACTCGTCAAGGAGCTTTTCAGCCTTGCTGGTTCACATCTTATTTTCTGTAGTATTAAAAAAATGCCCTTTGGAAGTAATTTTGCAAATTGTGCAACAACAGTGAGAAATAAGGGAGAAGATAAAGGTCTGGTCAGGAAGTAGAATCCAGCTCTAGTTTTGGGGATTACGACGTGTAACAAATATTGCAGTATTGTTCACTGTCTTGGTTTGGCTGCATAAGTTTGGAAGGGATTTGGAGAGATGCTGCAAGGTAAAATTTTATTTTAAGCACTTAATAGGCCAAGTGTCTAGGAAAACCCGATAGTTCTATAAACAACAAGCAAACATACCCATAACTGTTCTCCTTCTCCCATATAAAACTCTGAATGTACGAGAAACATTATCCCCAAAAAACATAATCAAAACTTTTTACTTCTCTCTAATATCCACTGATTTTTCAGACATAATTTTATAGCGGGGTCTGTGGTGTAACAGTGACTAGAAATCCAGAACTTGCTTTTGGAATAAAGAGCTAAATGTGTCACTGTGTTACTTACTGCAAGCAAATTGTTTGTTCAACTATTTGCCTTTGGTCAATCAAGCAGCCTAGTAGTGGGCGATGTGTGCTTACAGCTGGTTACCACCAGCTGTATGGTGCTGCTGGTGGTTATTCTAAGGTTGTTTTGCTTTACCTCATTCTTCCCTCTCCTTCTCTGCCTTCCAGCATGCACCTAATCCAGGTGGACTCTGTTCAGCGATGGATGGAAGACCTGAAGCTGATGACAGACTGCGAATGTATGTGCATTCTCCAGTCCAAGCCCATCAGCATTGAGAAGGATGAGCAGAACGAACTCATCCTCTCCTCACAGCACAGCACTTGTGATAACTTGCAGCTCCTGCTGAAGAGAGCTTGGATCATCAGCACTGAGCTGACCAGGATTGCTCAGAAACTGGAGAAGAACAGGTGGCAGAGGGTCCACAGCATGACAGTGAGAGTCAACTGCCACGTGCACTCCATGGTGAACGAGTACAACGCCTTCACCAGGAGCTCTTCAGAGGAAATGCACCAGGTGAGAGGATGCCTTACCTCATGTGTTTCTCTCACTTTTTGAATTTTTATTCTATTGTAATAATTGGTAATTGCTTTAAACAATCTATAAGAAATTCTTACATACTGATGATACTGGTCCCTTGTTTAAGACTTTCCAATCCCTTTCCAGCAATGGAAATATTCTTGACTTACTTTGGATCCTATTTTATCATAGGCTATTCTGATTGTTAATAATGTTGACAACTTGCATGGAAAAAATGTTTTGCTTTTGATGACTACAGAACTAAATTTTGACACCCCATTTGTGAGTTCCTTTGAATTTAAAATATAAAAAATGCTACTTTTTTGTTAAATTCAGTTTTATCTGTACCTGTTTTATTCAGAAAAATAGATGAAGGGTGTTGATATGAAATATCCTGTTTTGAGAGGGTTTTCAATTAACAAACAGGGATCATCTATTTTTGTAAAGCAATTGTGTGTATGCATGTAACTTTAAAACTACTTTCTCGTGCTTTCTCTGCAGCTTGAAAAACTCTTAATAGACAAGTGTTCAGAATTTACAGCATTCACAGAAAGGTAACTTAAATTTTGTAGTTGAAATATTAATTTTGCTGCTTTATTATGTTGTAGAACTTCTAATGAGAGGCATAAATCCATAGACACGCCCTCAATTATTTGAACTAGGCTGCTGCAACCCTGCAAGTCTTTCTAAATGTTAATGTCTGGTGGATGAAGGGAGTTGCTTTTACCTAAAATGCATCCTAATGAAAGATGGAATCTTCTGTTGCCCAAAGAGTCTGATAGAGACACAAAGTTACAAGTGGATTTTTCAGGACTTTTAGACATCAAGGGAGAAAGTCTGAAAGTCTGGCTGGTGACAAAGTTCTCTTCTAGTTCTGTGGAGTCAGGATTTCAGCTGGTATGAAAACTTGGATTTTGAGACTGGTACTACATGTTCCTGTATGAACATGTCCGTGCACTGTAAATCAAACCAAAGGAAATACACATTCCATTAAATTGTAGTTGTAGGTTTACTCATCTGCCTGCACTCTGGAATGCTGAGACTGGAAAATAAAAATCTCTGTAATTCTTCTCATGCTATTTCCTCTTTCTAACATAAGTTACCCATTTCCTCCAGCACCGTTCAATCACTCTGTTTTGGTTTACTTTAAACATTGTGCAAGTCATTCTGTTTTGGGGATATCATCAGGGAAAAAACACCATCTAATTATCAGGAAATAACATTTTTTGGAGCACTATTGCTTTGTGCCAAACCCACAGAGCTCACATTTGTGTTTTATATTTTACTATAAGACACACAGATCTAATAATGAGCTCCAATCTCAAAGTGTCTGCCCTAAATCAGCCCTCTCTTCTTGTCTTTTTTGACAAAAAATTGATATAGGTGTCTGACAGACAGGTAAAGCTGAAAAGGTAACCTGTGTACAGGTAGAAGCTGATCACCCAAACTATATCTTCAATTACAGTGGCTTGCCTGACTGGAAGATGTTTTGACAGTAAAAATGAATATGTTTCTGTGAGGAAATATTTCTTATTTCATTAGAATTGTATAAAGCTTTCCATCTTTATCTCTTTTCTTTAATTACAACCAAACATCACTGGTGACAGGATAACTGTACTAACTCTGTAAAGGTGCTTTATGCATCTTTCTGTAGAGGGCCAAATTTTATTTTTGATTATGCTGTTTAACTCATCTGGGCACACATTTCTTTCTTCATCCTTTACCTTCTTTGTCATAGTTTAATGATAGCAGGATAAGAAATGAAAATTACTGAAATATTGATTATGAAAGATAGGTGGATATGCACAGGTGCAGTTGAAATGCAGGCATCCAAGAGTGAAACTATCAGCATAAGAGGAAAAGAGCAGCGCTGCACTGTATAAACACACAGCATCTGCAGCAAAATTTGGCCTGCAGTCTGTGAGGTAAATTGTGATCCCAGAATTATTCAGTAGTGTCCAGCCTTTCATGGTGAATTTACTCCGTGTACACAAAGCTTTGATTGAAGTCTGGAATGATGCTAATAACACGAAGTCCTTGTGAACAGCTGAGTTCCAATTACATCCTGTGAGTAACATGGGGCTCACCTCTGACAATCGGGTCTTTTGCATCTTTTTTTTCCTTCATCCCTTTCCCATCTCTTTCTTTTCAGGTGCTTACAGACTGAAGATGAAGAGATACTGAAGACGATGAAATCTTGTGTTAATGAAACACTCACGACAGTTGCCCAATATTTTGGCCAGCTGATAGAGTTGGTTTTAACACAAGAGGCACAGGTTAGTTTATCGTTAAAAAAAGCTCCAAACCAAAAAGGTCTTCCAAAATCGTTGGATCTTGAGATGGCAAGTAAATGATTTTAGAGGCCGCTTCCCACCCAAGCCATTCTATAATTCTGTGATTAAGAGGAGGATTAGAATTACAGCTCTCAATTTTCAACAAAATTATGATGAAGAACGCAAATATGTTGCAATGAGATTTAGGTGTTCGCATTCTCAAATGCTCCAATAACCTCGAATCTCAAACAAAATGATCTTTTTTCTCACCAGGTTACTTACTTTTCCTGATGTGTCTTTCTTGCAAGGCACCTAAATGATGACTTCTGAAATAATAGAAACTTGCAAGTCTAGCCAGCCTATCTTGACTTCCTTCCTCTCCTTCCTCTCCTTCCTCTCCTTCCTCTCCTTCCTCTCCTTCCTCCCCTTCCTCCCCTTCCTCCCCTTCCTCCCCTTCCTCCCCTTCCTCCCCTTCCTCCCCTTCCTCCCCTTCCTCCCCTTCCCTTTCTCACATATAGAATGTAATTCTGCTCAAATAATTTGCCCTTGTTTCAGAGGTAATGTTATGCTAAAACTTCGTGTTGTTGCAGCAGAAAAAAGGAAAGGAGAGCCTTAGAGAGCACAAATAGTTAAAAAGTATTTTTTACAGTGACAAATCAAAATTAATGCATGCTGTTTGTTAAACTCTGATTGGTTAAACATACCTTGATGTGTTAAGATGGAAAAAAAAAAAAAGTTTTGGTGGCTTCCGAAAAATCCCTTCTAGTTTTAAAGGGTTATTACTAGGAGGTGAGAATATCCCAAATATATTGCAGAATTACAGTCAAACTAACAAGCTACCTCCTAATGTTCTTTGGTTGAGATTGGTGGGAACTCCATGAAATGTATGAGTTGAAGTGTGTAAATAACTTTGCATATTGCAAAGTCAGTGAGAAGGTTACCATTGTTAAGATGTTTATTTTTTTCAATCTGAAGGGAAGTTCTTCACTGCTGATATTTCTGCCTTTGGGCATCCTGGCACCTACTGACATACCTGAAATCCTACTCCCTTCTTCTTTTAAAGGAGTGGAATTATTGATGCCACATCATCTTGTGTGTATTTGTGTGACTGAAGGATGTAGAACTCATTAATAAAAATTATTTTATGGACAATTTTCTGAGCCATTCAGTCAGGCTATGTGCCCACTTCTGTCATAAAAACACAATCTCTGGGGATAGTTTGCTGCTCTGAAGCAGACTAAGTGTCTGTGTGAGAGATTTCACTTAAATTGTGTAAAGAGCCTTTTTTCTAATAAGTGTATCAGGATTTAATTCAGGATGGGTTCATATCAAATTGTGAACTCTTAAGCTATGTCTTTTATGGAGCATTTTTCTAATACATTATTATGGAGTATTTTTCTAATGCTAAAGAGGAAGAACCTCTTAAAGGCAAGGTAATTGAATTTTGTATAAATAACAGTGTAAAGCATGGGATACTTGCATTTCTTTTGAAGTTGGATTAAATACAAAAATGCTTACCCTCCTCCTCCTAGGAAATAGAATTAATTACTCTAGTGATTCTATGTCTTTTTTCAGAAACAAAAAATGAAATAGACTTAATGTTCTTTTCACAGCTGTGCTTCTCTAAAGCTGCATTGACACAAATGCAAAAGCAAAACAATCTTTTACAAAGATTAAAAAAATATTTAATCTATTTCCTACATTGGAGAAATAAACTATATTTCTTTATAAGAATGTCTATTTGTCAGTGACATTTTGATTGAGAGTGGTGATGAACCCAGAGCCTTAGATGGTAGTGTAAGACAGGGTGTAACAATATTGCTTATAAATAAGGTGGCAGTCTTGTATCACCATGTAATTCACCTTGTACACTAACTAAATTGGTTGCCTTCTGAAAATTCTGGTTCAATCCCATAACCAAACACAATAACTAAATATTATTAATATTTACTAAACAGCTGGAACATTCCATACCGCACCTTCTCACGCACGTACCCATTGTCTTCCCCTGTTAATATTAATTTTTAAATATCCCTGTCCTTGGTTCCATCTACTCAAATGCAGTGCTAAATGTGTGTTGTCAGTCTGACTCCCCCAGTTTTTTGTCCTGTATCCCCAGAACCTGCTGAGGCAGGTAGAGCTCTCGGGCAGTCTGTACGTCACGGAGTCGGCCATCAGCAGTTTGTTCAGCCTTGCCCAGGAAGGAGCTCACCTCTGCCGCATCATAGCCAAGGTAAGGGGTGCATGGAGTAACCCAAAGCAAACTGGCAATACAAGAAACTAATTTCACTGAAGAGTAACAAAATTTACTCGGAAAAACTACTTTTTTCTCTTCTTGTGGTGCTTTTGCAAGTCGTACTCTAGAGAGTTTACCACCACAACTATAACATTGAGGGTTTTTTCTAAAGAGGATCACATCCCCCCAGTTTTTAGTTTGATAATGTTCAATACCTATGCAAGCAGCTTCAGTAGGATGGTCAGCTCCAACAGGCTTCTCAGCATTGTTTCAGTTGCAGCTGTCTTTGTGCCATCTGAGACATTATCATTCCATAATTTTGGGAACTTTTGTAGTGTCTCTCCTGACAGTACTTTTTAACTACCAGCCATGGGAATGAAGAGAAACTTTACAATGGACTGTGGCAGACTGTGCAGAGAAACAGCTGAAGAAGTCTTGCTCTGTGAGGGGGGGGTTGGGGTGGTTAGAGATATTACTAAAAGATGTAAATTTAGGAATACTTTGCATTTATTATTATCCTTTCACAAAAGACCCATTATTGCAGTTACTTCTGTCAGTGTGCGTTCCCATTTACTGGGTAGTTGGTGCTAGCTTTTGGTATAAATGAGTCATTCTGTCAAGATCCATGGTACTGGAAATCCCTGCAGAGTTTGCACCTTTAAGGACACTAGGATCTTGACGAAGTGAGAACGGTGGGACATGGTGTCTTGTTGAGGATAGGATAATCACAGCCGCAGGGCATGCAGAAAGAGGAAAACCTCCCTCCGCCAGCTACTGCTGTGCCAGTTCCTTGTCCCGCTCAGAGGCAGGGTTAGACAGCAGCATTTAATTACTTCTGATGTACCCTTAGATGGATATTTACACCATAAAAGGTACTCCTCTGTGCTGAAGGCTGAGAACAAGTCAGACTCAGAAACCTGCAGTGGATTCTGTCAACAGCCTAAGAGGTTTAGTTTTTTCTAAATTGGTATTTGAGCTCCACTCAGTGGTACCCAAAAACAATGTTTAAAATGCTGAGTATTGAGGTAGTGCAGAATTAACAAAGTAAAGAAAATTGGTCGTGGGCTTTTTATAATTTTATGACTTCCATAACAGTTTAACTTAGCAGACATGAAGTCTGACCTTTCATAAATCACTAAGTTAATATATTGCTAAATCCTGGGTGCGTCACAGGTTTACAACTGAGGAAATGCATCCCCTTATGCAAAGAACCCTAAGTGGTGTTTGGCTGCCAAATTACAGCAGTGATTGCATCACCTGTCCTGTGCCTCTGCCTGCCCTGTGCACTGGGAAAAGCATTTTTCCAGACTGACCATTATCCTTCCCCCTCTGCGCTGCCTCAGTTACCTGCATCAGTGACCAAGGGGGCAGAGGAACTGTAACAGACCGGAATTCCAAATGGGTAAAGAGCTCTGTTCATTCAGACAAAGAAATTTAACAGCACTGAGCTTTGCTTGCTTTGGAGGTTAACTTGCACCTTTCCAAATAAAATATGTTTTTATTTACTGTTTGCAGACTTTTTGGAGTTTCCAGTTTATGACCAAATACCACATAAATGTTGCTTGTGCTGTCATTCAAGTTTCATCTGTGGCAGGTTTCACAATCTCTGAAGCAGAAAGGAAGAGAGGGGCACTGGCTCAAGTTAGCTATGACATGAATGGTTAGCTATGACATTAAAAATTCAGGGTGATTTCCAAACAAAAAATAAACAATAACAACAACAAATGAAATTGTTCTCTGTCATTATGAAGGTGAGAAAGGATTGAAGTAATACAAAGATTTGAAACTCTTTTATAGAATCCGTAGTTCCCTTGAGCGCTGTCATCGTATCCTTGATAAAACTAGCCAGAGAGATTGATTATTTGTTTACTGTGAAAGTGAAATTCAAAAAATTTGTCCAGGTAACCTTGAAGTCTTAGTCTCCATGACAAAGTGTGATCTTGTGGAACACTGCTGTTAGGTTTCTTCCTGTCCCAAGCTACAAGGTACAACTCTAAAGCACACCAATCTTGGAGGCGCAAAAAAAAAGAACCAAGATAGTGCTGTAAAGCTACAATATTACAGGAGCTGGTCTCTCATTTTACAGTTTGGTAAGGGCTTCAGTAATTTCTCTCCTTCTCCCCAATCCACTGCTAATATTTTACAGAAATTAAAAAAAAAATTCTGTAACGTAAAATGCTCTATGATGAAGCATCGCCGATAATTTTATTCAACCTGCAGGCATTCTTTGACACTTTTTTTTTTAGCATGTAACTTTTTAATCTGCTGTGAAAAAATCATGTTGCTGACTCATCCTGGCAGCCAGTAGTAGTTCTCACTAGCTGTCAGAGACATCAAACCTAAGGTCTCTAACAAAAATGAGTAGTAGCATGCACAAGATAAGAAAATTAGCATTACTTGGAGCAAGTGGGTTATAAATAGATTTGGATTTGTAACAACCAGAAGAACTGGTAAAAATCTGCTTATGAGTTACAACAAATAGGTCATAGAGTCATAAAGAAAATACTTTTTTTTTAAAAAATCATTTTTCTGATGATATAGTCCAATTCCAACTGTACTGAACAGAGTGCTTTGATAATGGGCTTGTAAAAGAGAAAGGAACAAAAATGAAGATATACATGCATCATAACAGCCCCTCTGGAGAATATGTGACTATTGGAATTCCTTATGGCCATACAGCAAATCATTTGCTCTGAGAAGATTCTAATGCATTTTGCCTTACCTTCTTTATATACCAGTTCCTTTTCTAGCAACTATTTATGATGAAGACCTCTTTGGAGATCATCTGTCAAGATAATTATAAATGTTGTCAAAGCCTTGATGAGTATTTACTGCACTTGTTGTCATTTCAGGCTGAAACCACAAAATATTCCACCTTAGAATTAGTTGCCTTTTTGCTTCCCCTCTTTATTTACTCAATCCACATAGTTTTGGTGATTGTATTTCAGGTGATTTCATTACCTAAAACTAGCCCTTCTGAACAGAATCCTTCAAAATTGAATTCCTTTCAATGCAATATAGGAGACAAGTAGGTCACAAAGTAGTAAAGCAAGTGTCCCTCTCTTCCTCTGAATGTTTACCCACTTGTCCAATTTATCTGTGTCCCTGTCAGATGGAATGGTTTGGCATAATTGCAAGAGATACAGGGGATGAATCTTAAAAAAGGTGAATAAATTCTAAGAAATGCTCTGATCCCAGTGGGAGGACTGGTTTTGACAAGCCATGGAATCAGGCTCAGTGTTTTCCACCCATCCTATATTTCACTTGCACATCTCTCAGTTCATTACTCATGGTCAATATTTTACAGCTTAGTAATGGCACAAAATAAAGAGTACAGATCTCCTCCTGACAAATGCAGTGATAAATCACTTCCTGTCCATCACAGGCAAAATCAGGGCACCCATTTGGCATAGAAAAGGCTTAAAGCAATGTGCCAACATCACTTGATCATTACTAGATTTATCCACAAACTTCTGCTTATTATGGCTAAAGCAGAGGATCAGATCATCCCTGATTCAATTGTACTGTGGGAAAATTCAAACTGACAATGAAATTTCAGCAAAAAACCCCAACAAAACTGTTTCCTTTGGCTTAGGAATGACAATGCAACAGCTTTTCCTCTATATTTTTGATAGATAATTTAATTACTGCTTGCGTGAAATATCAGTATCCTTTTGTGGAAGAAAAATATGACTGAAATGTTTTTGTTAGTGTACAGCCTCCTTTTTAGTTTAAAGGCTCAGGAATATCTTTCTGCATTAGGCTATATATAGTAGTATTAGATATAAGATAACAGACACATGAATGCTTCTTACAATTCCAGAAATAAGTTTTACTCCTAAAAAAACTTCAGTGAGGCTATTGTTTTCACTGATGCCACAGATATTTCCATCTACTTGTGCAAAGACATAATCTAAAACTTCTATCTGGAAAATATGTTGAAGAGTTAATTTTGTCTAATTCTATATGACTTGGTATAAATTTTTTGTTAAACTGAACAGAGAGCTTTCCTTCCTCTATTATTCTCTACTGCATTCAAGCAAAAGTAGTACAAAAAATATAGAATTCTGAAAATGAATAAAGTCTGAATTGTAGCCCAGAGGTTTTAAGTCAGTATAACCTGTTGAGCTTTCAAATAATGGTTGAGGAGAAAATGGCTGAGGAAAAAATAGATTATTTCTGTGAATCTAAAAATATTTTTAAACACAGTCTAATGAAACAGGCTTTAAAAAGGGTGTACTTTTCACTTGGTCCATGATTTCAACTATTTTTAATTTACTGCTGTAATCTGAACACTTTAGGCTGAGATCTTTCATCTGTCATCAATAATTTAAATGCTTTCATCTTCATCATATGTCTGATTCTACATCATAAAGGACACATGTAGTCTACCTGATAGCACAACACGTTGAAATGAAAAATAATTTAAAAATCCCCACCACACAAAGTGCAATATTGTTGGCATTTATTTATATGTTTACCTTTGTTATATGAAATTTGCTAAAACTTATATTTACAAGCTGTGTTGGAAATTAATTAAGGATAGCTACTGCAATATGTACTCAAGTCTTTGCCAGTGTATATAGTATTTAAAGAAAAACTTTTAGGAATCCAAATTTTATTTATTAGCGGATGAAGATTTGGACTGCATCTGTGTAGAATTTGATACTTATTTCCACCTGCTTTTCGGTACCTCTTCAAACATATGTCCTTCCTGTCCATAATTCTAGCATTAAGTAAATTTTGTGTGGAGCTCGGAAATGTAGAGGAACGGGAAATATATGGTAACAAAAGTCTGTTTTATACTAATAATATGGCTGAAGGGTCAGTTAAATGTCGCTCTAATTGCCACCTATTGATGGTTCTTTGTAATTTTTGCAGGAATATCAGGTTTAATTTAAATGGAGCTTGTAACTGGTAGGAGTCAATCACTTAAGCACACCTCCTACTGAGGTTGTATTACTTTTTCATCACTTAGTGTACAAGCATTAATCCACTTGAGTTCTCTGTGTGAGCTTAACACCCTCTTTGTTGGTGTTCTGACGAGAGCTGTTTTGGGTAAACTGCTAAAGGAATCTGTTCCCCATCCCAATCTTGATTAAGTCCTAGGGGAACCTTTAGCCCTACTGTCCTGATGGCTGTTTTTCCCCTACAGGAGGGAGGTGTCGTTGCTCTCTTTAAGATCTGTCGCCAGGATTGTTTCAGGTGCCTTTATCCCCAGACCCTGAGAACGCTGGCATCAATTTGCTGTGTAGAGGAAGGGATGCACCAGCTGGAAAAGGTAGGCACTTCGGGGCTCCTTACTGACTGTGTCATAAAATAGAGAAGCCCTGTCTTTAATCTCTTCCAGAAATTGATGATTTGGTGGTGTTTGATACTGTGTTCCATACTATGCTTACCTTTTCTCTGCTGAACACATTTTCAGTCTTCAAAAAATTAATCTCAGCAATAGCATTGTCCTATAATCCTTGCACAAATAAGCTTTGTAAGTGGGGATAATTTTGTAAAACAGGTAAACATGTTGATGACTACATCACAAAAGGGGAACAAAAACGAGAGAAATTGTCTTCTGGACATTCTAAAGCATTTAGAAACTCCACTGTTTCAAATAGTCCTTAAAAGACAGAAGGTTCTATACCTCTTTAAGTCCTTTCCTGATGGTCTGATAGGGCTCCTGCTTGTGGCAGTGCTGCAGCTTGTGAGTGTTGTAGATGTACAGAAAGAAGTGGGACAGACACAGTCATTAGTCAATCAAAACATGTGTCTGCTAATCAGCAGCAGCTTTCATAAAAGCCACTTTTAACTGAGATGGCCAACATCAAAACATTATCCAGGGAAAATTATATCAACTTCTTAGGCTCCTTCCCTTTCTCACATTCACTACATACTGCTATGTTTTGGAAAATGAACAGTTCTGGTCACTAAATCATGATCTCATCCTTTGTATTTCATAAAAGAGTCATCTTCCTCAGCTGAATAATGGCCTCTTGAAGTTAATGATAAATGATTTCACTGGTCCTTTACACTGACATGTCTTGTAATTTACTTCCCTGAATTCAAGCAAACTGTGACAGAACACCTGCAGCAAAAAGCAAGTCTCTGAGTTTACAGTAAATGAAGATGACTTAAATTTTTTTTTTTGACATGATGCTGGTTCAGACTAGCACCAGAATTAATCTAAAAGTATCTTTCATTATGTCCATTATAATGGTGGAGTTATTAGAGGTAGAAATGAAAAAGATTGATTCAAGTCACCAGGTCCAATTCCTGGCAGCATCAACACGTGCTTGATGTGGCCCATATCAAAGCTGATGGAACAGGAGTCCCAGAAATGGCCAACACTCTCAAGCTCATGTTTCTTTGATTTGCTTTAATGTTGGCCACAAGTAAAATTGTTCAGGGTAAACTTGATTGCAACTGGAGCAGGGTTTAAAGGATTTGCAACTGAAATCCCCACCTTCAAGGGGTTTCAGTTCTTCAATCATCATCTTTAAATATGAATAGGTTTATTTTTTCAAAATTTGAACTATTCTTCTGAGGAACACAAAAGAGAGTTAAAAGTATTAGCAATCCTACAATTACAGAAGTAATCATAGGACTTCTTATGTGGCAGAAAGGTGGCTTCTTTTATCCAACAAATTATCTGGGTGCTGGTGAATCATTTAATTTCTCTAATATGAATATCATTATGCCACCTAGTGCATTAAAATATCAGTGCAATTTGAACTGGATTTTTAATGTTAGAAACCTCACTTAAAAAAACCCAAACTTGGCTACTGAGCAATTCAGATAAAAAAACAGAAAAAGCCTATGCAAGCCTTCCTCCCTGTATTTTTAATTAGATTAAGCAGCCATTGCAGTGTTTAAAAGACCGTTTAAAAGAAAGCAGCAAGTGCTATAATTTGTTTTGAAACACTTATCTGAGAGGTGAACTAAAAGGGGGTGGTACCCTTTCTCCAGTAATTGCAGTGCTTAATTACTAAAGACATCAGGAATATTATTTATTTGTCTAGTGCTTTTTGATCTTGCCAATTCAGTGCTCATTTCTAAAGATGTAGAAAATTGCCTATTTTAATAAAAAAGCATTTCTTTCAATTTTTTTTTTTTAAATCCCCATTCTTGTTTTTCCCAGCAACACATCTATAAATATATCACACTGGAAAAAGCCACTATCACCTTTTTTATCAGCTTGATAAACAAGCTGATCTTTGCTATAATTGCAGTGATAAGGTAGCTGTTGCAATGATTAGCTTTTCCTCTTTTCACTGAATCTAGTTGGGTCTGTGTACAGTGATGTAAAACCACTTGGTTAAAATGTGATTTTGGAGCAATTATTTCACTTGCAAGTACTTTACTGAATTTTGATAATATACTAGTACTCTTTGCTGTACATTGAAGTGCAGAGCTCCAGGAACTCAAGAGTGACAAATTAGGCAATTAAAGTAGAAAAATGGTGAAGAAATAGTCTCATTGTGTGCCTGAGGACTGCAAAAATAAATGTTCTCTGTAAGCTGTGCTCAACAAGTGGTAATTTTTGTGCTTCAAGCTGCTTGTGGGTGTCTGGTTGTTTGATACACTTTAATTTTGTAATCCAGCGTGGCACCAGCAGGTTTGAGATCATTATTTGGTCTGAGCTTTCTGACCATCCTACTTTAGAGTGGAGTGGAGAGACCTGGAAAAACAACCAGAACATATTATTCCTGTAGCTGTTTGTCCCTGTACTCAAGAGAACTTTGTCATCTGTCTTGTGCCACTCAAGCATTTTTAGGGGAAAGCTCACTGCAGCACCAGACAAGTTGGTTTTTCTTGATGTGGGCATTCCAGAGTTTATACAGACACAATAAGTAATACAGATAGTTGGGAATAGAGAAAATAGATAAAATCCCTAAATCCCTAACTGAAATGAGTCTGTGAGAGCTGAGCATGACTGAAACTGAAGAACCATGTTAGTGCTGCACTTGCAGACAGACCTGGTGGTGTGTCCTGCTCTGAGGTTTAGGACAAATACAGTGATGAAGTGGGAGATTGGTTCTTGAGATTTGTTGAGAGTTCTGGAGAGAAGAATATCTGAACCTTTATGAATGTGTTTTGCAAACTTAATTCACCTCAATGAAGCAAGAAGAGTTGGAGGCACAGAGTTGGGATACATTATTGTGTGTATTTAGTGACACTTAAGGTTCAGAAAAAGTAAAAATTGTGATTTTGGTGACATTTATTCTGCAAATTGCATTAGGAATAACTGTACTTGAAGTCATGCTTTCGTCATGAAGACAAAAAATCTAACAGATCTGGTTTTCAACATGGAGCAACCTTGCCTGGAAATGGGGGTTGTGCTTGAATAGACTTTTTTTTCTAAAGCAATTCTTCAGGTCTTACCCCTTGGAGCATACATTAGGTCCTTGTTTTGCAGAGCTGTCTGAACAAAGTGTCTCCCACACATTTAGTGACTTGTAGCCTCATTAAGGTCTAAAAACTGTGGCAGTTTCTCTGCTTCAGGACTGTCTGTACAAAAGTTGGTGGTGGTGGAACTAAAAGGCACAGCTTTCCAATTTTTGCCCTACTGAAGCTCAGTTGTGTGGTTTTTCACTGAAGCTTCTGTGGCAATAAACTTCCTGCTGCAATAAAAGGACTGCAGAGCTTGTTCAGAAATAAATAGCAAACAGTGCAACGTACTGCATTTTTTTTACTGTGCATGTGAAATGTTATCACATTAAAAAAGTGCAGCTTAGGTAGGACCTAGATCAAGGGTTAGCTGCCACAAAACCAGGATGATTATACAAACAGCCAGCTGCCTCAATTTTAACAGTGTGCTGAGTATGGTTACTTATGTTATTTAAACTACTCCAGAAAGCAAGACCTGGAATCAGGTCATTAAGAAGAGATAATCCAGACACACTGGTGACAACAGCTGTTACTTTCATTAGTAAAACCTTTTTAATAAATGATACAGCTTTTATCACTGTGCTTTAAGCAAAATTGCCTAGGAATAGATTACAAATTACTTTGAATCCTTCATTTAAAGCGCACTAAATCAAATTACCTCCAGAAGAAGAACAGTAAAGAAAGTATGAAGTGTACATTATTTGTGGCTGGGAAAATATATGAATTTTATAAGACTTCTAAAACATGAGTGGCCTAAAAATCTATTACTCACTGTAAACCCAGTCTGAGCCTCAGAATAACCATATTCTTATTCACAGTAATAATTTCTGCATGATGGTAATGCAGTCTGTCCATGATACTGCTGAAAAAACAGGTTTTTCTGGGGAAATGTAAATGTATATTACCGAACCTCTTACTACCCATAGTTTTTGGGTGCATGTGTGTTGATTGCTTAATTCAGCTCTAACCACTTGGAACTTTCAGTTTCGGACATTAACCTCAGTTAAAATCATGGAGTATTTTTGTCTCAGGTGAAGTCTCAGCTGCCAAAGCCACTGAAGTCCATGTGACTGCAGGGTGAAACAGAAACGAGAACTCTGTATTAGGAAGAAATTCCTCACTGAGGGAGTGGTAGAGCACCAGAAGAGGTTTCCCACAGAAGCTGTGGATGTCCCATCCCTGGAAGTGTTCAAGGAAAGATTGGATGAGGCTTTGGCCAGTCTGGTATAATGGAAGATATTCCTACCTATGGCAGGGAGGTTGACAGTTGATGATCTTTAAGATCCCTTCCAACCCAAACTATTTTGTGAATTATAGAGAGAACTTTGATTATGAGAGCTTGGATAGTGTGAAGGTGAAGTCACTAATTCAAAGGCTGAATGTAAAAGTTAGCTGGTGGCCCATGGATTTCATTGTCACAGCATGGGAATGTTCCACAATTGTGAATGTTTTAATGTTCATAGTACCTGGTGCACAGTGGAAGTAACTTTATACAGTGCAAGAGATGGAAATTTTTCCTGATCTGAATGAACTATTTAGCTGTCTTCATAGTTCATTATTCTAATTGTAGAATAATCAAGGATATTATTAATATTTTAATATTAATTCTCTTAATTAAGAGAAACGTTATTTCTTTTCTAAAAAAGGTATATGAGATTGCCAGGTTGGGTAGGAGAAACCCTTAGGTTGCTACATTTAAAAGCATGCCTGCAGGTTGTTTGCTTCTATTAAGAAGTGCAAGTTTTCTGGAAACAGGGAAATGTTGATATTTATTGTGGCAAATGGTGGCTTATTTACTGGACTTCCAACAATGAGAAAGTTTCAGAAAGGGCATATTTCAGCCTCAGCCTCTTAGCCCTTATTGCTCCTCAGAGAAGAACTTTGTGTTAGTGTTTCTTT